CGGGCGACCAGTGTCCTTACTGTGTGGAGTTTGCCTGTTCTCCCCGTGTCTGCGTGGGTTTCCTCTGGGTACTCCGGTTTCCTCCCACGGTCCAAAGAAAGTCAGGCTGATTGGACATGCTGAATTGCCCCTAAGTGTGAATGTGTGTGTGACTGTGTATGTCTGTGTGTCTGCCCTGTGATGGACTGGCGACCTGTCCAGAGTGTTTCCTGCCTTCCGCCCAATGACAGCTGGGATAGGCCCCAGCACCCCACCGCGACCCAGAAGGATAAGCGGTTTAGATGATGGATGGATGGATGAATTGACCCTTAGCTAAGACCTGCCTCCTTGGTTACTGTTGCTATGTCTGTCAAGCTTTTGAGCTGGCATGTTTCACTATCCGGCGTCAACCAGAGGAGGATGGGTTCCCCTTCTGAGTCTTGGTTCCTCTCGAGGTTTCTTCCTCTTGCTCTTAGGGAGTTTTTCCTTGCCACTGTTGCCACTGGCGATGCTGATGGGGCCTTGGACCTTGTTTTCTTTCTTTAATGCTGATTTTTCTGTAAAGCTGCTTTGCGACAACACCTGTTGTAAAAAGCGCTGTATAAATAAACTTTGCTTGCTTGCTTGCATGTCAATCATGAGTTGTCTGTGGGAAGATTAGGCTCATTTCTTTCATGTCCAGTCAGAACGCGGGTCAAGTTATTCATTTTTTTTTATGTCTTTTATTACTTTATTCATATTTCTGTTTTTTGGGAGACTTTCAGTTTTTCAAAGAAATCTGCAGGGATATTTTTCCACACCTACAAAGTTCAGTCTTCAAATTTAATGGCATTTTCTCTCTTTCCAGCTAATCCCAAACACATTCCAGGATTGTTGAGTTCTGGACTCTGGGGTGGTCAGTCCATTGTTCTGAGAACACCAGCATTTTCTTTCTTTGCAGATTTTCTTCTTTGTTTTGTTTATTTTCTTTTCTCAGTGAGGTTCTTCTTGACAGCTACACATCCTTTCAGACCTATAGCGCTGAGTCGTCTTCTCACAGTGGAAGGATGGACAGAAACACCTGTGGATGTTTTCAGATATGAAGCTTGATTTTCTCCTCTCTCTCAGAGATAAAAGCTTTAAGTGCTGTTATTCGATGGGGACAGTTTCAGTGTCTTCCTGTTCTAGCATGGTTGTCTCATTTTCTCTAGATCTTCTAATAGTTTTTGACCTCCAGTTTTGGAACCTTTTGCTTTTTCACATATTTTCTTTTAACTTTCCTGTTTCTTGTGCAAGTTGATTATTTTATGTATCTATGGTGACCAACAAGACTCATAGTACAATTAAAAACACTTTGCAAACTCATAAAGGCGCTGAAAACACATCAACATGACTACACCTCATCTACATTTCACAAGCGCACTGCAAATAAAGAAAACAGCAACTTCAGAAATGCTGCAAATCCAGTCACGACACAGTGGAAATGTTTCTGGAAGAGCCAAAGGGCTCAAAGGGGATGAAATATCTATGATGGAAAATCACTGACAGAAGTAGATAAGACCACCGAAGCTCACATCCCGAGTTCATAGTTAACCTGGCTGGCTAGTTTGCTGTCTGACGTGTCGCAGCTGTACTGTGATTGTTCTCTGGTGTTAAACGTTTACAGTTATGCTCTACAGATGATTCCCTTTACGATACAGTGATGGTCGTAATCTGCTCAAATAAAAGTTGACTTACTTTAACCGGTGAATGTTTGTGCTGTGTAGAATTTAAAAGTCTGAATGACTCCATCCTCTCTGAGCGTCCTGCAGAAACACCTCCGCTGTGTTGTGACTGGCTTATCAGCGTTTCTGAAGTTGCATGTGTTTCTGTATTTGTAGCACGTTTATGAAACGTAGCATCTGTGTTGTCAGTTTTGATGAAAGTGCTTTCTGAGTTTGCAGCTCATTTTTTATTTGGAGTTTTTGAGTCTTCTCAGCCACCGTACTAACCTCCTGAGAAATATCTCCTGAAAAGTGTAGGGGACTATTTGGACAACCTGTATTTAGAGGAATGGCTTAGCAACTGTTACCAGGTATGACAAGCATTACAGAACAAAAATGCCTTTCAACCGGACGTGAAATTGTAGCAGTTTTTTTTTTATTTTTGTCAAAATACTTTAGAGTGCAGCATTAATTTTAAAATAGATGTGTGAAAGGCTCGGATAGATTAGATGTATTTTTGTTGTTTAGTCTAGCTAACATTTAGCATGATCGCAAATCCGTCATTTCAGACTAGTCTCAATCAGCTAGAACAACCTGGTCCAGCTCAGTAGTGTAGAATTTTAAACTAGAAACTAAAAATAAAGAAGTGACTCAGAGAGAAAAGGCTAAGGTCTAAGCAGCCTATGCTCTGCAGAAAACAGGTGATTTATGTTCTTCTCTCATACATGACAGTTTGAAGCAAAACATGAATTTCCTGTGCTAGTTTAATATTTTTCACACCTAACTGTCTCTATGCTTTGGAAGGAAGGATGGTGGGGGTGGTAGAGGGGCTAGATGGAGCGGCAACACACTCTTTACACGCCAGAACTGGGAGACCTTCGCCGACTTTTCTTATTTCACGGCTATAAGCGGCGCAGCGTTAGATGCTGGGATGCTGGTCCTTAACCAACTGTAATTACGGAGCATGTGGCAGTGATGTGGAGGGGAGAAGCAGGTGGAGCTGGGAGGACAGGCTGCCACCAATCTGTCAGTCGCGTGGCTCAGAAAAACGCGCATTAATACCCCGCTGACAGACAAGAGCCATCACCCCCCCCGCCCCTTCCACTGCTCCCACTGAAGCCCTCCTGACAGAAAGTATCAGCGTGAAGAATGCGAGTCTGAGGGCGGATACGGCGAAGAGGAGCCACACATGATGTGAAGCTCCGAAATGAGATGTGAAGAATAAGGTTGGAGGGTAATTGAGTGAAAGAAACTCATGGATCGAGGGCTCTGTGACAAATAGGGGTAAAAAAAATCCTAAGTTAATTGTTCATTCATTAACTTATTCACTATATAATGTTTACAATAAAGACTGACTGGGGAACGAGCTTGGAGGGATGAAAAGATTTACAATACCTGAGAATTAATGCAACACTAAACATAGATGATGCACGATGTGGTTCACCGTTTATGCAATTGGCAGCAAATATGAACGGTAGTGTTGCACTGTGGGTCATACACGGATTGACTTGGCAATGCATTAATGTTAAAGTCGCGCTGTCATTTTTATGTGATATAAAGTACTTCAGCATTTAAGGTGTTATTCCATCTCAAAACGAGATCCATGCTAGACCTGATCTCATCATCTTAACTGGAGCACTTCAGTGGCTCGATTATCGTCAGAGTTGACCCCAAAAGTATCCAAACACTCCTTCTAATTCAGCATTTTTAAAGAGTAACCCCACCCCTGGCTCAGACGTTGAAAAATACTCAAAAATGGGAGGGGCACTGCAGTGATGTATGGGTTTGGAGATGGGGCTACGAGGGAAACTGGGTGGGCTGGGCTGCTGTGTGTTATAGCTAACATTATAGCTATATAACGTTATAGCCAGAAAATATGGAGAGTGACTGAATCAAATGACACTGTTGCAACTGAGAGTCTTACGAGGTTGGCGATTTTTCTCTACTACCATCCCCATCTTCAACGAAGGAAGGTGTTTCCGATCAGGCGGTGCATCTTGAGCCTTAACAGTATGAGCAACTGACTCAAAGCGCCGAAAAGCTCCCCATCAACGCCAAGCAACACTGGAACTACGGAAAGCGAAAAAGAAAGTTCAAGAAAGGTTGTATGGACGAAAGATTGGCAATTGAATGTTAACCTTTCCTGAACTGTTTCGCTTTCTGTAGTTCCAGTGTTGCTTGCAGCTGATTTCTGCTCAGTGAGTCACGCGAGAGTTCGATTTGTGAAGGGAAATGTGAATCGGCTGCAACACGGCAGCTTTTTGAAGACTTCTTCAGGTTACCTAATTATATGTTGAACATTTATCAATCTTTATCATAAACTAAGCTCAGATTAAAGGGTTATTTACAGTTCATACGGACAGCTGGAATATCGCAGCCTTGTGAGGTGGTGCTGGGGGTGTTCAGCTCAGGATGTGAGTGTGGTTATCTCCTCGCTCTCGGCTCCTATGCTTTTATGTTTATGAGTGCAGCACAAATAGGGCATCGTCGGGGGGTGGTAATGCTGGATGACTGATTTGCATACTGTGATGTTTCATTGTACTTTGGTACGGAGGCACGTCATCCGCGCCTATAGCAGAGCTGAACCAGAGGGGCACTGCAGAGGCGGAACTGACCATGATAAAAATGATATTTTACTGTTTGGAAAGATGTGTTTACATTTTAAGCAAGACTAGTATATTTTATTATTGCAGCAGTGCATTTCAGCTGTTAATAAAAAAAAAGGTTTTAGGGTGTAATTACTCTTTAAGGTGCACTCATTCCTGACACTCATTTATTACGCACGCACACAGCTTGTATAATCTCCTTTTTAAAAAAGAATTGTCAAAATGGGACACTCTGAAGCAGCTGCATATGAGCCTAAGGCCAGCTAGAGGGGTATAAAGCCCCCAGCATTGGGCTGTGGAGCAGTGGAACTGCATGTACTCGAGTGATGGAAGCCAAGCCCAAAGGCAAGCGTATATAAAGTGGTATAAAGTGGCGTCTGTTACCCAGAACTAACCATCTAACATCAGAAACTGACCTCACTAACGCTCTTGTGGCTGAATCCAGTCAAATCCTCACAACAGTGTTCTACTGTAAAGCTTTCCCTTCAGAATAGAGGCTGTTACTGCAGGAAATACCCTATAAATACCCTTTATTTCAGAAGAGCAGGTGTCTACAAACTTTTGGACACACAATGTAGCTTTAGGTTCCTGACCGATATTTCTCGTTCAACCTGAAGTGTACATCGTGCCACCTTCCCTTCGGTTTCAGGATCATGACTTTGTCATAAAAGCATATGTATGATAACACAAGCACTTGAGAGACAACTCATCACTTGATTTTAAAATAGCATTTATTTTGCTTAATATACAAATATCTCAACCGATATTGGATGGACACGTACACAGGGATATAAAATGTTTGGTCATCGTACATTAAGTGTAACTACACAAGGCAGCGGGCTACATGACGGCTGCATTTCATGGCCTATTCCTAAAGGCATTATTGTTTTCATTCCCCAAGACTAAACCAACATCAGAACAGACCCCATTTCCATTAAACACCATGGCTTAATGAAACATCATTACGCAGGTATACTGAAGCATTTGTGCGTCATGTGGTTACACTTTATCTGTAATGTGACAATAACAATCAAACAGCATGGCCCCATGTTCAAAGGCTTAGCCAGTACTTGGACTAAGGAGGGTGCAAAAAGGGGGGTGGAGGGCAAAAACTTAAACAGTTAAAAAGTTGGATGTAGTGTGATGTGAAAAATGAGAAATTAATAAATAGATAGATAGCAAGGCTATTTTTAGAGAAGAGTGTTGGCAGCATTTGCTGGAACTCGTTAGACTTAGTTTTATAATTTTTTTTTTTCGTGACTACCTCCTGATGCGATTCACTGAAGTGAAAGATTCGTTTAGTTGTATTGCTGTTGTTATGCAAAGTCAAAACAAATGGAAAAGAAGCTTACCCTTTAGTAACGCTCTTATTACATTGTAATGAAGTTGTTTTGGTGCAAGTTTCATAGTCACTCGTAATGATGTTACAACAAATACGCAATACTGTACTTTTTGTTCACCATGGTATCTCGACACATTAGAATATTGTATATTGGAAGACTTGACTGGTATTTTGGGTATATAAATATAGATCATTTCAACACCAACTACCGTAATAAATTGTGCAAACCCATAACAACTATTGTGCAAAGGTGGTATTTTGAAAATCGGCTCTAGTTTCCTAGGAAAAGCCTCGTTGTAAGCATTGTCAACCTTTTTATATCTAAAAATGTCTCAACGACTGACGACACCGAAAAAACATCAGAGCATTACACAAATCTTGCTATGTACACGAAGAATGCAACATTTAAAAAATCGCCTATTGCAGGATGCACAAATACACATGTCACAAAAGCCATTCACGTAGAAGTTCTGATTGTATGGACCCACTGGTCTAGTGAGCGTCTAGTAAAAATGCAACATTCGCTGATAAGGTTGGCCATATTTCCCTTAAACTGCCCTCAACCCAACACCAAAGTTTGGAGCTACATTTGGTGGAAGTGTAAAGGTGAGTAGGTGTTGGGCCTCGATGTCCTGAAGGACATGTGCTATGCCTGAGACAAACTGTGCAAATACGACCATGTGAACTTGTGAACATGAGTGTGCTAGTTGTATTGCGCCAAGTGCCCCCACGACCAACCGCCCACAATGTTTGGTCTCCAAAATCTGTGTGGCATTCAGGCATCGGAACTGGTAAACAACACAGGCTCTTCAGAGGCCAAGTCCAGACAGTCATCTTTCTCCAAGTGACAAAAAAAGAGGAATCAATCTTGTGTTTAGAAGTTCTCCAGAAATTGGTTTAGCGCTTAGAATTCCAGGTAACAGTCTCTGATATCCACAACTTTCCTTCAGTGCCAACGACTCTGTTAGGAGGTCACCAAAGAGTAGATCATACTGGAAGACAAGAGCGAGAAAAAAACGTTAAATTCAGTCCATGTAATCAATAATTATGCACACGACCAGAAAAAGAGAACAGCAAAGGAGAACAAGGAAAAACATTATCCGTTAATCTGCATAAACGTATTGAAGTCTGGTGTTTAATGTATCACAGAAGTGCGCTTCCTGGGAATGGGCCAGTTTCACAAGAGGCCGTTTGTATCGGTTTATTTGAAGATGCCATTAAAGAGCGCTTTAAAAATGCCCATAGAGCTGACGCCAGCGGGAGTGAGTTTGACACTTCAAACATAAGCAACGTCGAAAACAGCTGGGAGCAAGTTACGCTGAAGTTATGTTTAATTAATCAAATCAATTGAACAAACTTTGGCATTAGTCATGGAATTGGGGAGGCTGAGGAGGCTTGGAGAAGAGAGGTCTGCTGTTGGAGATATACACATAGCAAGGGATGAATAAGGATTTGGAATATTTGAAAATACAGCATTTATGCTGTTATTTCCATGTTCAGATATGGCACATGCTGCACATCATACCTGTTACCATTGAAATTGATTGTCTACATCATTGGTTCCCAACTTGGTCCTCAGGGCCTCCAGATGGTCCACATTTTCCCTTCATCTGTATGTGTTGAGTTGGGCAGAAGCAAAAATGTGGACTGTCTGGAGGGCCCTGAGAACCAGGGGCCGGATTCACAAAAGCTTTCTTAGGAAAAAACCTGCGAAGGTTCTTAAGACAAACAGTAAGAAGTTCATAAGAATGTTCTTAAATGCAATTCTCAGAAAAGAACCTAAGAAGTTCTCAAATATTCTATTAGGATAAGCAGTTCCTTAAGATTTTCTTGAGAAAATCTTCATTGTTTTGTATTCTATGATGCATTTTACAGCTAACCATAAACGCAGCGCGATATACAGGCTGATTCAAAAAGATTCATCCGATGTCAAAATGATTTATTTCTCTTGTAAATCGTTACAGATCAATGCAGTAAACTGTAAATGGTTTAAATGAGCATAAAGTTTATTATGTAATTGTACAAGGTCTCAGTATGAACCTCCTCCAGCTGTACAGACAACATCAACGTCATAGTCAAATTCATCCCATACTGGATTGAGCATGTCGGGTGTCGCTGCACTCACGGCTCTTTCAGTGCGATTTCGGAGATCATCCAGTGTTGTGGAACCAACGACGAACGCTCTGAGCTGTTGGAGCTTCACTGACCACGAAAATCACACTGCACAGTTATGACGGATTCACTCTTATTGAAGTGGAGAACGCAGAACGCTTTCTGCTCAGGGGTCTCATCTCCTCTCAGACTGAAGGGAGCCATCTTCCACTGACAGTCAGAAACTCAATGGCCTCCTCTTTCAGTTGGATTGTGATTGGTTCCTAGGCGCCTCACGGTTGTAAGAATATGGTGCTTTGAAATTGGATGAATCTTTTTGAATCACCCTGTATTTTTAGTTTGTATTAGCTGTTATTTCCATTATTTAATCCACTCAGAGAAGCAAAATAGAGGAAATGCATCAAACCAAGTGTTTAAAAAAAAAATAGTAAACAGGAACTAGACGTGATGATGGATGAAACAGCCAACAGGAAAAAAATCCTCCTCGGAAAATGCAATAATTGTGGGGTGACCGCGGAAAGCAAGAGGCGAGGATGGGCAGGAGCAGCAGAGGCAACGTCCGAGTTTGTCTATCGCAAGGTTAAGATCACATTTAAGAAAATAATGTTTTTGATATAAACACTTGTTCTTAGAATTAATAAGAAAAAATAGTTATGAAAAATTCTTAAGAAGTTATTTGAAGCAAAGGCACTTTTTTCTTAAGAATAAAGTTAAGAAAAAGCGCACATTTAAGGAGATTTTCCTTCTTAAGACACTTTTGTGAATCCGGCCCCAGGTTGGGAACCACTGGTCTGCTACACAATCGACTGCAAATGCAGTTGCCAAGACTTTGATGTCTGAAGTTTGCTTCTCTGATTGAAGTTGGTAATGGAAGTTTACAGCAGTTAGCATTGTGCAAACTGCATGCTTAAATCATCACACTTGCAGCAAACCACACTGTGTTGTTAAGTAATGTGGTTTCTGACACTATTACACACCATTGCATTGCTGTGAAAAAGTATTTGCCCCCTTCTGATATCTTCCATTTTTGCATATTTGTCACACAAAATTGTAATACAAGGCAAAGAAAACAGTTTTTACACAATCTTTTTATTTATTCAAGGGAAAAAAGTTATCCAACATCACCTGGCACTGTGTGAAAAAGTAGTTGCCCCCTTAGTTATGCAACCCACCAATTAACCAAATTTAGTTGGTCATAGGGATCAGTTGAACTAGACACACAAAGGCTTGATTACTGTCAGCTCTGTTGAATCTAAACATCACTTGAATAGAAACTTTTTAGCAATGTTAAGTGAGCTTAAAGGTCTCAACAAGCAGGACACTCTGCTGCAATCAAGAAAAACTGAGAGACGTTAAGAGTTGCTGAACTATTTATCAGACTGGAAAGGGTTACAAAGCCACATTTGCAGGTAGTTTTGGATCTCGATTCAAATCAGATTCCTGGATATGTGACTCAGTTTGACTCTTCACATCAATTTTCATGTATTTTTCATGATAGTTCATGACATCAGTGTCTGACAAGAAGGTCAGTGGTTAAAACTGACATATTACAGATTTTAACAGCCATTTCTACTTGGTATATTGTATTTAGTGACTGTTTCATTAAAAGATTTGAACTTCAAGCCTGTCTCTGAATATTACTGCTACAGTCTATAGTTCCTTAACAGTCTGGTGACCAGGCCAACCTACATTAATGTCATGTTCTGCCAATGCTGTAGGTAATAAAAAGTGAAATTCTGTTGTAAAATACATTGTGATTGTTCTATTAGCTATTTATCATTAGGTTTTACTGTAACTATGGCAACCAGTGCGGATCTGCGAGCACATTTGACTGCAATCTGACCATACAAATCAGATTTCAGGTCACTTGTAAGTTGACATCTGAACAGCCGGTCTAAAAAGTCAGATGCAAGAAACAAATCTGATTAGTCCGGCAATTTGAGCAAAGCAGCCTTAGAGAAAATCAGGAGGGTGGGGGCAAATACTTTTTCACAGCACTGTATCTGTGAATTAGACAAAATACAGATACATTTCAGAGTTCAAGATGATTGCTAATACTGTTCTAGCTAAGCCACGCCCTATAGCTTAACAAGTTCGCGTGGTCTGAGTGATGCAGTTTGCACAATGCTAACAGTGTCTATAAGCTTTCAATAGCCTCACAGCTACAGTGCAAATCTTTGGACCCCAAACATGTCTTGGCTGATTGACTACATTTAGGGTGGGGAGAAAACAGTGCAAATCATCGCTTTACCATAGCTATTTAACACCTTAATGTGTCCGTGCAGCACAGTTCATACTTCGTACCATTTGGGATCTCCTCTGGCACTAATGCATTGTTCTCAGCTTGGCTCTGGGCACTGAGGAGGGAGCTGTAGGTCCCACACCCATTACTATAATCACCAAACAGGAGCTGGGAGTCAGCAGTAATTAACATGAAGGACTAAAGCATTTTCTCACCATAAAGCGAAATGAGGAAGGCAGAGCCGTAGTTAATCAGAAACCACATATGTACCGCGCTAATTATACTGTGCATTAAAAGCGCTCGATACATGGACGGTCCTGTTACATACGGTAATCCGTCTCCAGCTGTGACACACATTCCACATTCTATACAATATCTGTATACTCAGTTCACTGAATGTTTACATTAGATGTCCTGGGTTTTACATGCTAAAGATGGTACTGGGTGATGACCACAGCTGAGCATTTTATCATTTGATGCTATTTCAATATCCATATTTGTAAACATATAGTATTTCAATACCTCAATGAGAAAATATTTTATATTGTTAAGGAAAAAAAGTTTAAAGGGACCATTTTGTTCCCTTTTGGAACAAAATCTTGTGTCTCCAAAATGGTAACTTTAGGAAAAAACTTTCTAAACTCATAATGGAATTTAAGGTAACAAGAGTTCTTCCATTTTTAATTTAGTCTGTTCATGATTAAAATTTTAACACAATGTATTGATGGAGTTTTCAAATTTTACAAGAAAGTAGAAAATGACCAAAATGGAGAGATTCTACACTGTTAGAAATGAAGGTTCTGTGCAGGTACATTTTTCATTCATCAAGGTACAAACAATGTTAATGTTCCCTCAAAGGTACAACAGTGGTTTTAAGGTCTGATTGTGAACCTTAAATACGTTTCTCCAGGTGAAAAGTTCGTATTTGTACCTTTTCATAACCGAATGTTTTAAAACAGAACAGTAAAATAAAAGCCTGGAGGCGAGACGGGGTGTGTGGAGTCAGTACAGCTTAGAACATATCATTTCAGTGGATTATGGTTCAGTTATGTTCCCTGACTAAAGGTACTGAGATGGAGCCTTGAGGGTTCCACCCCAGTGACAGTTTAGTACCTTTGTTTCTGAGAGTGATGAGAGGCCTTTTGACCAATATTCAAACTTGACTCACACACACACAGTCATAATCTCTCATACTCGCTATCAAACCCCAGAAAAAAGGATGGTTCTTCAAGGGTTTTGTAAAATAGACAGTTGTTCTCTATAGAACTATAAACACTCAAAGAACCATTTACATGATTAAACCATTCTTTGACTGGTGAAATGGTTCTTCAGCTTGATGGAGAATGTGTTGTATATGGTTCTGAATAACCCCAAAAAGGGTTCTGCTATTGTTATGATGTCAAGCTTATAATAAAAGAAGAACTCGTTTTGGTTCTACACAACACTCATTATTTTTGTTCCAAACTAGAGATGCTTTATTTGAAATGCTAAGTAAATATACAAACATATCTGCTGTCAGGACAAAACCTTGTATGTCTATTTTTGTAGTTTTTCCATTCAATGCTGCTTCATGCTGGTCTTTGCTGGTTTAAACTGATTTATGCTGTTCTGGTGCTGGTTTAGCTGGTCATCCAGCAT